TTGACAGTATCTGTTTCATATGGGAACTTTATGGCGCTTCTGAAAGATGTCGGTGTCTAAAATTTGAGACCCCTCAGACAAAAACATGAAATTAATAAAAATGCTTGGGTCTAAAAGCTTGTAATTTTTATCCGATTAACTATTGAAGTGAACAAATATATTGAAAAAAGAAACAACCGTAGCGGTCCACAAAATGTTTGGAAAGAAAATTCCGAAGTTCGATTATAATTACTTTCGGTCCAACCTAATATTTTGACAATTATCAACATACATTCATCATGTTTTATATTTCGTATTTTTCTTAAATTATTGACAATACAGTACCTGAAAGCGGCACCAATCCAGACGCAGAGCCCGGAATGAGACTTCAGCGTTCAGGGATGAAATGTCGCGCATGAAGTCTTGGATCAGCTCGTTGTCGTCCTTGCTGAGTCCTTTTAGCTAAAATGCATTTTAATTCCGTTTAAACTTATCAGAACCTAGAAATAAAATGTTGACTTTTATTTCTATTTACTAATTAGTAGGCAAATTCCTTACCCCGTTCATCAATTCTCCAATAGCCGCGACGTCGTAGTTGCCGATGTACTGAAATCAGAATAAGCATTAAAATTCTAAAAGGTTTCATTTTCGTGCTATAAGAACACAATTACAATATCTTCACTATTTTTCTATTGTGTATACATAAACTAAACTCACAGTCATATAATATCGCTGAATGATGCCTGCATGTTTCCGAACCAGGTCCCTCAACTCTTCCATGTAATGCAGCAGCTCGGGTAGTTGTTTATCGACCAGTTCCTCGGCTTTTTCCGTCTACAAAACCGATCAAAAATCGTGAATTCCATTACTTACCTTGCTGCCATCTTTCTTCTTTGTCGAAGGCCAGATATCGTAGTGGCGGAGGAGCCAGAGGACCTAGAAAAATGACTTTTAAACCGTTTTTTGTGTATTAGAACTTTTTCTTGAGAGATTTCGACTTTGGACTTAGCAGAAACATTAAGAGTAGCTTCAAAAACTCATGCTCTTCTCACCTCGTCTCGACTGAAGCTCAACGCCATCCAAACAAACAGAATTTTAGGGCCGAGCAGCCCTGGCTCATCGTGGATCAGCAGGGTGAGCTCTCGGAGGGCTCCTCGCAGGAATTTTCGACGATCTCCGTGCAGGGAGGCGCTAAAAAGTGGCTTAGAAAAATTAGAAAAATTCCTCATGGGTCTCTGCTAGCTGCCCGAAAAATTCTTCTCGAAAAGTCGTTCAAAATGCTCATAAAAAGCCTACCATTGTGCCAAAGCGATCGCGTAAGCATCCTTGATTTCCTGCACTCGCTTGTTTAAGCTTTTGAAGCTTTCGAAGAAAGTCTGGAGGGCCGGGTGGATGATGAGGATCTGGAAATATAGTTTTTTCTCTCTCTCCCTCTCTCTCTCTCTCTCTCTCTCTCTCTCTAGCAAAAAGTACAGTATTCCACCTCGTCTCTAAAAACGCGAATCGCCAAGCTCCCCTGCAACGACAACTGCCACATCCGCACGATTAACGGGTCGTTGAGCAGTGCACCATGGCATACGGTACAGGTTACTAAAATTAAAATTTAGATTACAGTTGACTACAACTTACAAATCACCCATCGTTCCATCGCGTCGAGTGACAGGTACTCGCTGGCAATCTGGAAAAGTTGGATTTTCAGCGTAAGTCCGAGAGAAATCAGCATTCCCATAACGAACAGTGGTTTTAAAAAATTACACTACGCCCTTGCTACCGTATACCGTATTCGCATTGGCCAGGAAGAACTAGAGAAATAGCGCTTTCAAAGGAACAACCATAGAGGGTTTTATCCAAAATTCTCAGGCTCTGTGAACCCTTAAAATCTGCCCTACATACCGTATCCGTCTGTGCGACGTAGACCATTTGCTGGGGGTTTGTCGTGAGCGATAGAATTTGGGCTGTTCTCCAAGAAGCTGCGGAAATATTTCTTCTTGTGAAGACTGGAGACATCGAGCTCAGGGCGGAGAGCATGAGCTAAAAATGACGATAGAATTTAACGACAGGGAGAGAAAGAGAGAGAGAGAGAGAGAGAGAGAGAGAGACTGTCATCGAATCCTTACTCGATTCAACGGGGTCAACTCCTCCGACAGCTTCTTCAGCGGGCTCTCGTAGTCCAGAATCATCTGGCCCAACCTCGGGAATGAAGCCTCGGTTTGGCCATTTGCCAACTCATGGGCGGCATTGAAAAGGCCGAGAACCTAAATTATCTTCCTCAAAAAATTTAATTATAGGACTCACAGCTTTCCGATCGTCAACCCGAGAGAGGAGGATCATCGCTGAGATGAGATTGACAACCAGATTGAGGTAACCGGTTGTCAGCTCGTAGTTGAGGGCCTTGAATTAAAGATTTTTTTATGATACGATTCCTTTAAGATTATTTAACGAGTTTTACAGCAATTTCCTTTTTTTAGATGTATTTTGGTGGCACGCTGCCCTTCAAATCGATTTTTCGGGTTTTTCGATTATTTTGGTGTCATCTCCTCTTTAGAAATGATTTCTTTGTAGTCTTCGTCATTTTTTCTTCTCTTTGAACTTACAATATCCAAATGGCACTGCGCGGCGTCCATGGTCGTCAAAAGTTGCAGAACATGGTCCTTGAACTCGAGTAGATCCGCAAACGTGTAGTAATAATGTGAGAGGGAGGCGATGATCTGGTCCTTCAACCCGGCGACGTTCGAGTAAGCGCCCTGGAAAGAGTATTTGGTTTTTTAATTGATTGGCTGGGGTACTCGAAAAAAACCTGTTCGCTAAAGATACCAAAATCCTGCGAAAAATCTATCCAAAAAAATTCTAAAACCACTCCAATTTTCTAAGGATCTCTGCAAGCATGCCCTTGTTTTTCGCCTGAAGCAGCGTTTGCGAAAAAATTCCGCAAAGAATTTCTGTTAACCTAACCACTCCAGGCGATTTTTTAGCGTCATAGCAAGGCGGCGATGCCTCAAAAATTCTCTGCTAGCCTACCTGGTATTTTTTCATATTTTTATGGCGTAATCGGCAATGCCAACAATTTTTGCTCTTGAAAGCGACGCCTTAAATCAACTTACCGGATTTGTCCTCGCATCCGTGACCGGAAACTTTTTGACGATATGTTTCAGAGCACTTTCCACAGATTTATCAGCAAGAAAAGCCGGTTTGGATTTGGGCTCGGCGCACGCCTAAATGTTTTATCAATTCATTGATTTGTTTTGATAGCTGAAAACATGCGAATTATTTGCTAACCAACCTTTTTAATATTATACACCCTGGTGAGGAGGCCGATCGCCCGGTCGTTGAGGATCACCAGCTTCTCCGCGATCTTCATCTGGCCCGGGTCGAGGGCGAACACCATTTTGTTCTGGATAGGTGATAATTTGTATAACTTTGGTTAACCACAAATTGAACCGCAATAGGAACATAAATAATCCCGTTTAATAGAAATTTTAAATAAAAATTAAAGCATATGACAATGATAGAATGATGATGGACTACAAATCTGCACATCATAAAGAATATCCTGAGGTTTTTTAGCTACAAAATATCGCCAAAGCCTGGCAATAACACCAAATTAGCATAGCAAAGTTCGAGGCACATCTTTAGTTTTCAAAGCCAGTTTAAGCATTTTTTTAAATCTTAAAAATTACAGATTATCCCCCGGGAACAAGCGATTACTCAGTATTTGAACACAGGGCTTACCCCGCAGCCAATACAAAGGCGATGAGCAATCGTAGAGGGGGCATAAGAGAGGCATGGTCCAGAGGAGTGCTATGTAGCCTTATAGGTATAGAAGAAAATTAGGGGTAAAAAGACACAGAAAGGACACCATAAAAGCATTTTCAAGGCATTAAAACCAAAAAGCGCTCTAAATAAATTTGATTGTTTCTCCTCGGGCAACGATAGCTAGCAGATGTTCTATCGAACAGTAGATAAGAATTAGTCAAAAATTGCATAATGACGCATTAATATAGTCACAAAAGATAAGAATAAAATGTGTAAGAATTTAAAAATACGACGATTGACAAAGCATGTTCAGATTAACCCGCACATCGCATAAATTTCAGCATTAAATATTTTTTGGGCTTGAGTGCAGTTTACCCCCCGCCCCCAGCCGACCCCCACCCACCGTATCGCGGCTCCCTGTTCATCTACAGGTGTGTAAAGTATACCAAAATACTCGCCAGAGCAAGACGGACATTTTGGTTTACTTTACACGCATGTAGATGGACATTGAGCCGAGATACAAAAGATGGGTGCCGGCTGGAGGGGGTAAACCGCCCTCTAACCATCTTTTGCTAAAATAATTAGAACCAGGGTTGAAAAGCCGCTTCGCGACTTTTCAACCCTGGCCCCGTTTGGACAAATGAAACTGTAAACTTTCCATAATTCAGCCTCGATCAAGCTGACAAAAATGAAAAGATTTTCTTCCATAGGCTTTTATAGGCTTCTTTTCCGGTATATGCTAATTGTTTCCTACCAAAGAGGGTTCTCGAAAATTTTAGAAAAACTTATTTTTAATATCGAAAATAGCGTATTTCGATAATTCTGTTATGCGTGCAGTCATCGCAGAGCCATTACGCACCTAATGACGTATCATACGTACCCTAATATTCATCCCCTATTGAGTTATCTTCCGGACATAGAGACGGAAGTTGCATGCAAATCGACACACACACAGACACTACTTTTTTATATATAGTAGGATATTGGAAGGATTGGCATATTTTAAAAATATTTTTGGCAATATTCTAATCCGAGGAAACGCTGGGTTTCCATAAACAACCCTTCATTCTCAACCGCCGGAAATGCACATCGCAGACTATCAAAAAGGAGACAGAAAGTACACAAAGTTACAAAATCCTCAAAAAAAAAGGTCAAAAACTTTATTCTCAACACAAAAACGGGCGCAAATCAAGTAGAAAATGATGATATAAGTTTGGCTTTTTTCGCATCCGATGGTGAAGAGAAGACGTTCGCCCAAAGTTCAGCTACAGGATGGTGCAACAGCCCTTCTTTGGAGGAGGCTGAAAAAAACGTTAATAATAAATCATTTAACACAGATTCGACCTTTTCCGGCTCCTCGTTGGCGTGCGAGCGTGGCCTCGGTGCCGGCTCTTCCATGCCGGAGGGGTGGATCAGCCTGGCGAAGCTGAAACAGGAGGTTTAGGCTTAGGCTTAGGCCTAGGCTTAGGCTTAGGCGTAGGATTAGGCTAGGTTTAGGCTTAGGTTTTAGGTTTGGGCTTAGGCTTCCGGTTATGGATTATGCTTAGCTTAGCTTAGGATTAGGCTTACGCTTCGGCTTAGGCTTAGGCTTAGGCTTATGCTTCGGCTTCGGCTCCGGTTTAGGTTTAGTTTATGCTTAGGTCTAGGCGTAGGCTTAGGCTTATCCTTAGGCTTAACATCCTCACCCAGCCGGCTTTGGGGTGACCTTGATGGAGCGGATGCCGTTCCAGCCGGCGGGTGTCAAATTCTTTCCCTCGTTTCGCCGCTCGACCTGTTCGGCCAGCCTGTCATGTTTCTTCTGGCCTCTGGAATTTGCGCATTCGAAAGGGCCTGACAGCGTGCACGCACCCTTGCATCATCCTTTCGCGCTTGTCCTTCTTCAACGGGGCGAGGATGAAGGTGGAGGTGGCGAGTTGGCGGGTACGGCCGGCTTGGTTGATGGTACTGCAAATGTGGTGTAAAGGGAAGTAAAAGCCCAAGCCTAAGCCTATGCCTAAATCTAAGCCTAGCCCTAAACCCAAGCCAAAGTCAAAGCCTAAGCCTAAGCCTAAGGCTTAACCCCTTGCAAACCTCGGGAGGTTGCGCTCCTTGCTGTCGGTGCTGGGTGAGGCCGCTTCCGGCGACGGCTTCCCCCTAGAATAATATTTTATTTAAGGAACATTGAAGTCAGCGCTCACTTCTCCTTGGAGTTGTTGTTCTTCCCCGACTTCTTCCCAGACTTCTCCGACTTCTCGGACTTTTTCGACTTTTTCGACTTCTCGCTCTTCTTCGATTTTTCAGACTTCCTCGACTTCTCGCTCTTCTTCGACTTTTCCGACTTTTTGGACTTCTCCGACTTCTTCGATTTCTCCGACTTTTTAGACTTCTCGGATTTCTTCGACCGCTCGGACGGCCTCTCTGACGGCTGCGTCTTGTCCAGCTTCAGCTCGCCGGGGCTAGAAAAGTATGTTTTGAGGTAAATGCACAAATGAATGAAAAATAACTGCTCGCTAGCCTTTAAAAATTTTCAAGGATCTCGATCACAACGACTCGGGCAAGTTCAGAAACTCCACAAGACCAGACATAGCTCAAGGTCATTGGGTTAAGCGAGTTTTTATTAGCTCTAAGCTCTTATCTGCCCACTCTTTGTCACTCTCCCTTTAGAAACTTCTCACGTGGTCCCGATCTCGGTGCCCTGGGTGGAGGCCTGCTGCAGGACTGACTGGCCTACTTCCGGCTCGGGCTTTGACGGTGACTGTAAAGCAGCGTAGTTTGTAGTCTTGTTAAACTCGTAATTTTGCAGATTTTCGTAAATTCCAAACCTTAGCCTCGTCCTTCTTCGCATCCTTACCCTTCTTGTCGTCGTCCGCTCCGTCTGGGCTGGCCTGGAATTTCAAATATTACTTTACTAAATCCTTTCATTAATGCTTAATTTGCGAATTTTTAATTTCTAAAAAATCATTAAAATCATAGACGGAATCATAGACGTAAGCAACTTGTAAAGGAAATATCGAAAAACCTGCCTTTTCCTTCTCCTTGGATGAATTAGTAGGTTTCTCTACCATCACGATGTGAAAGAATATCAAATAATAAAAGAAGCGTACTGTAGTAAAATGAAATTTGGGGAGTTTGCTGCTATTTTATAGGCGAAAATTAATGGAAATTCGGATTCAGTAAAAATTATTTGAATTACATATGCAAATTTTGTGGAAAATCGCAGTGCCGTAAAGAGAGATAGAGAGAGCGAGAGAGAGAGAGAGAGAGAGAGAGAGATATCAATTGCTTGTTTTTCGATGCGTCATTTACTCCAACATCCATAATTTATCTTCAGAGATCTCATAAAGACCAGTATTGTATTGAAATCACACGTTATGAGAGGCGTACAAAAAGCCGAGCAAAAAAATGTCAGTAGCATCACAGAGTATAATTATTTTTTTTGTGTTTTTTTTTTTTTTTTTTTTTTTTTTTTTTTTTTTTTTTTTTTTTTTATTTTTTTTTTTTTTTTTTTTTTTTTTTTTTTTTTTTTTTTTTTTTTTTTTTTTTTTTTTTTTTTTTAATGAGATTAATTGGATTATTTACATCCCTCATGGTAGGCAAGCTTCAAGCGTGTAAAGTCGTAGATAGTCGGCGGCAGGAAGTCTTTCATCACTTTTCTAAAAAATGGGTTGTTTTTTTCGTTTTTAGCGATTGATATGGTTAGGAAGCAAAAAACGCGTTTTTTAAGAACGGTAATTTTAGGAATTTTAAAACTATGTTTTTAAACACGTCCAAGAATTTTAAAAACTATGCATCGATTTTTTTAATATTACGTTGGTTCCACGAAAAAACGCAAGCTTTCAAATATTACGGTAATTCTAGGAATAAAATACTTTTACCGAGTACTGTAATTTTTCGAATGAAACAAAACCTTTTTAAAATGATGGCAATTCTAAAAACCAAAAAAAACTGAAAAACTCACGAGCACGACTTGCACGGCGTATCAAAAATGTGCTGGATCTTAGCGAAATGGTTGAAGAGCGTGGAGAGGTGCTCGGGGTTCTGATAGTTGACCTGGGAGCTCATCTGGACGAGGTGGATGTTCGTCTGGGTGGTGAGCTTCCGATAGACGAGGTACTCGCTCTCCTTCGTGGTGTCGACCTGAAAAATCGGGGTAATGGCCCGAATTTCGAAAACGCACCTTTTTATCGCCCGTCGCGTCAGTGAAAAACCAGTCTTCGTGCGGGGCGACCATGATCACGCCCTCCAAAATGCCATACTGCACGATGAGCAACATCTTTTGGCTGCACACGAATTGACGGCTGTCCAAGAAACCGCCGAATCGAAGCTAAAATTATTATTGAAGTTATTTTCAGCTTTTCGACCCTCGTTATTATTAATTTAAGGTATCAGAGCATCCTTCAAGGTGAAATCAATTACGTTAGGTTCTAAATAATTTTAAATGTGCATATTACGGTTAGAAACCGAATTTCTAATTTCGAGCCAACCTCGATCAGCGCCTGCATCGTCCCCTGCTCCAGATACATGCCCTGAATGCCGATCTTCTTCTTCTTGTACTCGGCTTGTAGCTAGAATATTGGGGGCAATAAAACGTAATATTTTCAACGTCCGCGGAGCTTTCGCATTATCGGGGAGGGGGGTAATGGTTTTTCTAAGTCAGATAGTCTAGTAATGCTAAATAACGGATTTTCAATGTTTTTAGTCAACTATAGATACATTTCAGGCGGAAAAGCTATCTAAAAAGCGCAGAAAATTAAAAAAACTAGCTCAAAAAGCACCTCTTTTAGTCGAAAAAAATTTCCTTCCCTCCCCCCGATAATGCCAAAGCACCGAAGCATCAAAAGAACCCACCCTTGCAAAACACTGCTCGAACATGCGGTGTGGGTTGTGCGGGTGCCAGTTTGAGTAGGGGATGGGCTTCGAAATCAGCGAGGTCGCTCGCCGGGTGTAGGGCCGGGGTTGGAGGAAGAGTTGGGAGAATGAGTAGGTTTGCTGAAAGTCGTTCTCAATTTATCGCATTTCCACTACTAATAATTTTTCGTTACATCTTCTCAAATAAAAAAATCACTTTAAAAATAAACTTACATAATTCGACTCGTTCCAATTCCCCGCGTCAATCGCACTATCGATCGTCTCAATCGCCGAGAGCTCGTATTGCTCTTCCTAAAAAGCTAGATCAAAAAAATTGACAACTTCCCTCACCTGATAAACACTTTTAAAGTTCTCAAGCCCATCCCACGTGGGCACCGACTTGCCGAGCTTCTTCGAGAGCTGCTCTATGCAATCGAAATGCTCGACAAGTTTCCCCGCCTCCTCGAGCTCTTCGGGTTCCGGAACCTCGTTGACCGACGAGACGACGAGCTCGTCCATTTTGTTGACAATCTGCCGGATTCGTCGCAGGAAGAAGATTGCTGAAAAGAAAATTCCCTCGTTTGTACGTTTTGGCCTACTGTCATTGACTACTGAATGATAGGCCTTCCTGTCCAATGGCAGTTCTGGGGCTGGGTCGGGTTGGGGTTGAGCCCGGACTGCTTGCTGCTGTTGTTGTGGGGCGGTTGCAGAACCGGTTGCGGGGCTTGTTGGGGAGGGCCTTGCATGGCTTGGCTGGCCATTCTGAAATCTGAATATCCGGCTCTTCAGTATTTTCAGGCAAGATTTCGAGAACTGCCAAAAATCGAGATTTTTAGTATTTTTTAGACAAAATTTGCAAGTTTGGAAAATTAAATAGACTAAACCTTTCTTTAGTATTTTGAGTGCGAAAGGTCAAAAAAACGGCTGAAAAATCCGATTTCTAGTACTTTTCATAAAAATTTGAAGCTGTAGAAATACTTCTTGCCCTATATTAGAACAAGCTGGTTCTGTTCGTATCTTCCGGAAATAATAAAGAACAAAATACAAAAATAAGAAATAAATTTACGATTTTTAGACCGAAAATAGGTACTTTTATTGCTCTTGGGACAATTCGTTACACAAAAAAACTCCCAAAAAGGCTCCTATCATTTATTCGATCGTAACACACCATTTCGCTTGAAATAATCATACAAATATATATCTACACGTCAATAGAAATGGACTGGAGAGCAACTCGCGAGCAAAAAAAAGAGGACTTAGAAGAAGAATATGTTTAGAATTGCTTCTGGACGGGCTTTTCCTCCGGCAGCTTCGTCTGCAGCTTTGAGAGCTCGCTGTCCCAGTCCTAGAAAAAAAATGGGAATCAGAAAATCGAAAAAAAATCAAACCTTCTCAATCTTGCTCCAGTGCTGGAGCAGCTCCTTCTTGCGCTGCTCGCGGCGGTTGAAGTAGTAGGGGAATTGCTCCTTCTCCGGCAGGGTCCACTGTGGACTGTCGACGATCTGGTCGGGCGACTCGCGCTCACGGTCGTAGGAGGAGCCTGGAAAAAAGGTAAATTATGACAGTAATATTTATAAAATTTGGCCGGATTCTTCCACAAATTTTTTTCAAAGATACTGAACTTAAAAGTTTTGCTAAAACTAGGAAAAACTCGATTTCGCGAAGAAAAATTCAATTTTCAACTTCTTTCTGACCCAGTTTTCCACTTATTTTTTGCCAATTGAATATAGCCGAGTTTTGGCCATCTAACCAAATTGTCGGAATAAGCGATAAAAATGGAATTAGAATACTTTTGAAAATATAAATAGTGTTTCAACAAGAAAATTTGGCCGTCTTCTCGTCGAAAAACCATCGAAAAAAACGAAAACTTCGTATTTTTGACCACAATTTATAGTTTTAGTGTCTGTTAAAAACCATAATCGTAAAAAAATCCGTTAACGTGAATGTTCCTTAAAAACCTACCCATCGGGTCCATGGCGAAACGGAAGGGCTTGAAGTGGCGCTTCTCCCAGAGCTGCCGGCACCCATCGGCCAGCATTAGTTGGGCCTTTCGGGTGTCCTAAAACAGAAATTACTGAAAGAAACTAGAATCTTACCCCCTCATCGGCATTCGCGTCAAAACGGGCCCTCATGATGACCTTTTGGAAGCGGACCTCGAGCATGTCGCCGCCGTACCAGTTGTCAATCTCGCGCAACGCCTTCTTGTACAGCCGACAGACCTAGAAAAGGATTATAAAGTGGTAGGATTCCAAAAGATCCAAAAATCCAAAAGTAATCCAAAAGCCATTAAAAACATACCTTCTGCCGGTGCGTCAGAGCCTTGGTGAACATCCATGCCGGAGACTCGGCCATCTTTCAGCACAATCACCCGCGTTTGCGATACCTGCGAGTTTATACAATTTTAGAGGAAAGACGTCGAAACGCCACGAAAAGGAAAACAATGAGAACGCAACAATAAAATTAAGCAAACGCAACGAAAAACAACGATCTAATTTAGCCAGAACCAAGAGAAGAACTAAACTAGTATCCTACTTTTCTACCGAAGATTAGTTTACAACGAAAACTACGAAAAGATCAAAAACCAGCAAAAACATACAATCAGAAACATGTGAGCAAAAAGATCAAACACCCGAAAGAATGAGCTGAGAAATAAAGTATATTTTCTATTCTCGCGGCGGCGGGATGGGGTAGCTCTTCGGAATCGCTTTCCATTCTTTTTCCGTCCGCTTGAAGATGATCTGGCGTGTGAAGTGGCTCATCTTTTGCTTTTCTCGCAGCTCCTTGACGGCCTGGCGTTCGTGCGGTGGTTTCAGGAGCTCGTCCAAATTGCAGGTCACTGGCGTCTTCGCCTCGTGGGGAACGACGGCAACGTGCAGCGTGTCCAAATCGTGCTTCAGCGTGTCGAGAACGGTGTCTTTCATCTAAAAATCGAAAAAGTGGCTTGTAAATTTCAGAAAAATCAATGGGGCAGAATGTACCAGTTACATGTCGCCAAAGCACCGAGAAATAGACAAAAAACGATGCCAATGTGCCCCAAAATGAATCTAGAGGTAATTTTGCGCATTGCTTCCGAATTTGGCGCTTTTATAAAGCAAAAATCTTACTTACGATTACAAAATACTAAAATACAAAAAAAACGTTTTCAGACAATTTTCAATTGACTTTCATTAGACCTAAAAACAAGTTCAGGGTTTGTCGTCTATAAGTCGGCGATTTCTCAAACTCCACCAACCTGCCGTGACATGTGCGTCCAGAAGAGGAACATATTCGACGCGTGCACCCGTTCATTGGTCTGTTTTGTGATCCGACTGTGCGCCAGGTCGCGGTGGCCCAGCGATTCGACCTTCTCGATTACGGCGCCTAAAAGAACACTAAAAAGCCCAAAAGCTGCCAGTTACCTTGATTCAGAATCGTCGTCCCCGCTCGCACCAACGTTTTGACCAAATCCGGTTTGGCCAGATTCCGCGTGATCACCGTTACTTCGTAAAACGGCATTGGAGAATCTTCAAGTCAAAGTTGTTGAGTTTTAGCGCGGCAAAATACCTGGAAATTGGAATTAAAAAGGCGGGAAACGTTCATTTTAATGACCAGGAATAAGAAGAAAATAAATAAAAACAGATAAAATAAAACGTTATAGTTTAAAAACTATTTTAGAAGCTTTTCCAAGAGAGATTTTTGCAGGAAACACACACTCCAAGGGGCAACTGTGAAGGCGCGCTTTTCAAGCGTCATTAGTATCGTCGCGTTATGAGCTTTAGGTGGAATGCCAGATGCAAATTTTTACATGTAAATTCAGCCTTTTTCGGATATAGCAAAGTTAGATGGAAAGAAAAAAATGCTAATTTTATGCCGTATAACTTTTTATTGAGTTTTGGCGACCAGGCATTGATTTACTGTAAATAAAGTTGCCTGTAAGCTCTGATTTTTCAAAGACAATAATTTATCGACCGCAAAAACAATATGTACATCAAATTAAGCAATCTTGTGTTTCGATTAAAAAATTTAACATTATCCCAGCGGCGTGGCCGGGCTCGAGACCACCGAAACAACTTGGCGTTTCCACTCCCAGTTCGGGTTTTTGATGAAATCGACGCAGCCGACGCAGTCACAGTATAAGGCCCCGTTTCCACAGTATCCTAAAGTTTCGTTAATTTTGTTGTTTTTTTAAGGAAAAAATATACCGGATTGGCTGCAGCACGGGGCGTTGGATTCGGGGTCACATTTGGGGATTTTTCCGCTCGGGAGGAGTGGGGCGGCTAGGCCACATTTTCCTGAAAAATGAAAATTATGGCTTGAGGCCTGGCTTGGCTTAGGCTTAAGCTTGGCATAAGTTGGGCTGATGCTTACCAATATTATTCGCATTCTCCGCATACGTCCACCACTCTACCGGACGCCACATGTAATCCGGTTTCTTCGTGAAATCGATGCATCCCGGGGCAGTCGCAGTGTTCCTAGGATCCTTGAATATACTTTTAATATATTTTTCTATACCGGAGAAGATCCACAGTAACCCCCATTCGAGCAACATTTAGCATTCGGATCATCGGGATTGCACGTAGCTGGGCCACCGTATTCATTCGGGGGTGCTAGGGGCCCACAGCGGCCGCGTCGGCCTTCTCCGGAAGCTAGGGTATACCTGGAAAATTAAATTATACAAGGAAATATTTGGCATAGAACCTATACTCCAATTTTGGTCTTTTTACCCGTTATTTGTATCGTTTTGTACTCACCATGTCACCTTCCTTTCCGGTTTCATCGGTTCTTTGAGCATCAAATTCGGATCCGCGCCATAGTCAACGCATTCCGGGCAACTACAAAATTCCGGTCCGGAGCCACAGTACCCGAATTTGCCGCAGCAGGCGTGTCCTGTAGTAATATGTGATTTTTAGGGTATTTTAAGTCTTTTCCCACCAGGATCATCAGGGTCACAAACAGGGTAGTAGCCATTATAAAGGGGAGCCGAGCGGCCGCACATCCCGGCGTATTCCTGGGTATAAAAATTATATGAAACCACTGTATTAACAAGTTAAGGAATACACTATGAAGCGTCTTAGAACCTGTTTAATAGCTATAAGGTATTACGCTATTAAATAACCGTATATTCTTACAGCTTTATCCTCAAAAGTCCACCATCTCTGGTCCTCTACCGGAGAGCATTTGTAGGGGAAGTCCTGCTTGAAGGGATGTGTGCAGAGTTCGCCGCCGGTTGCTGCCTGGAATTTGCTTTTCCTGTCGTAATTAGTTCGTTATTGGTTATTTTAATGGTTTTCTAAGGTCCGTATACTTCAAATTTTCTGGCTTAAAAGGTTTAACTCCCGGAAAACGCCAAGAATGCGAAGTTTAACGATTTTAAGGGCACTTTGAGGGGAAATTAGGACGAATTCTTCAAATTTTTTTTTCTCTTGGCTTAAGAATAGATATTTTATAGAATTTGACGCCAAAATAAATATTTTTTTAGATGCAGTAATACGCTAAAATTACCACACCAACCTTCAAAAGCGTCAAATTATCGTCATCAA